TCCCTTCCCCGCTCCCCAGCCTGGCCAGAAGCTGCGTCCTTAACCCGGTCCATCTTTATTTGAATGTAGTTCCCCTACCCCTATGGGAAAGAGAAGCTTTGTCAGGTCACGGTGGCTGCTATAAGTCGGGAGGGGGCGGTTTCTTTGTTTTGTTTTGTTCTTTTAAAATTTCCAGCCAAAACCAAAGATTTCCTAATGATTGTATAAACTCAAAACAAACAAACAAACCAAAGACAAAGGGCGTCTTCAGCACCAAGCCCACCTGTGAGGCTGGCCTGGCCGGGGCGAGGGTCTCCATCCCCCGGGATCCAGCCAGGGGGTCCAGCCTGGCCCCCGGCCCCAGGGGCTGCCCCAGGCGAGGGGGCGCTGTCCCGGGCCCTGCCGCCTCCCAAACTCGCCGCCCCCGGGAAGGGGTGAAATCCGGGGCGCAGGCTCTGGGAGGGGGCGGCCGGGGGCTGCTGCGCAGGTGGGTTGAGGAGCTGAAGACTTGGGTGCAGGATTGGCTGCTCTGCTGGGTGCTTTAACCCTCTGGGGGCTGGGTGATGTTGATTAATACACGCTGAGGTGCACTTCTGAGCTTCCCCCCTCCCCCGTCACTGCTTGGAAGAGGCTGTCCTGTTGTGAGAAATCCCTGAAAGAAGAAGAAGCAGCTTTTCATTTCTCCTCTAGTTCCTTTTTTCTAGATTTCTTTTATTTTTGCAGCACCACTGTGCAACTATGCATTGTATTTCTCAACCTTTTATGCTAGGTAGATGCCTGTGACTTTTTAACTTTTGGGGGGGGGATTGCAAATGGAGGAACTTTTTACATGGATCTTTTTAATCTCAGTTGATTGGGGGGTGTTTGGTTCTAGGGTCATACAAGCTCTATCCCAAAGCAAAATCCAAATGTTAATATTATTAGCCTGATGCAGATACCAAAGATAATTTCTTTCCTGCAGAACCTTAGACTTGTGTATTAAGTACGATTACCCAGCACTTGCATTAGTCTAACCTCAGTAATTCCAAAGCTTAGATGTATATTTTGGTATATTTCTGGGATATTAAAAAATTGTCGTTTAAATTCTTGTTTGTTTCAGTGTAATGCTCTTAAAGTCATAGCATGGAGATAACTGAACTTGTCCTATTCTTAGTAGTTTGAAATAATAGTATTTTTGTATGTTTTGGGTGTGTCTATGTATGTATTAACATAACAGTTTTCACTGCCTAGGTGTTCATAAATAATAAAAAAAAAAACAACTAAGGGTTTTTAAACTGTACATAATATTCCATGAGGAATTTTCACCAGACTGCCAATTTGGATCGCATTTTCACTGACGGCCGCTCCCAACTGGGATTCTTTCTTTCTTTTTAAAGAGACAGCATGTTCTTTTTTTTTCCCCATTGACCTGAGGTTATTTCTCAGCGTAAAGGGGTTTTCACTGTTTTTAAGGGATGGGCCAAAGAGGAAGAAGCTTCAATTTTGTTAAAAAAAAAAAAAAAATTAGCATGTTGGTTTGAAAGCTAACCCTTTGTACGAAGAATCAGGAGTCGAAAAACAAGCCCTTTCTTCTAAATGCGGCAGTAGTTTTCAAAGAGACAGTGATTTGTGAATGTCTGTAGCGTCTGGGCAGTCCCTTTTTGCTTCGTTTCTCAGTAAGAGAAATTTGCAGTCTTAATGGTTTCACTACGCTGTGCAACTGCCTGCTTACACTGGCTGGGGGGGGTTTTTTCTCTTGCCCTTCCTCATGTACTGCATATATATGCTTCAGGTCAGCAGAACACTTGAAATCGAGGGCCATATGGGAGTACCCGTACCCAAACACAACCCAAGCTTTTCTTGAAACTGAAATGTGAGAGTCCCACACATTTCAAAACCTCGCTGATCACACTAGGGGTGAGGAGGAAGGCGAAATGCTGTCTCTTTAAAGATGTCCTTTATTATTATTATTATTATTATTATTTTCCCTGTGGTTGCCTGCAGATAGCTGTAGGCATTGAGAGATTGTGTAGATTACAGTAAATCAGAATGAAAAGGTAGATTTTGTGTAGATGCATTTGTCTGCTGTAATTTTTTATATATATTAAACTTACTGTAATTGTACAGTTCATTTCTGTTGTAAACATCATTAAACCATTTTCCAAGTGTTTTAACATGTATGCACTGGTTTGTAGTTTTTTAAATGTGTCAGGGGAAGGCTAATTCCCCTTCCCCCTGCTGCATCAAACCAGACCAGGAGATTGTTCTTTCGTGCTCTTTGTCTTGTCAAAATGGAGGGGAGACCAGGGGTTTTTTGCACTCCAATTGAAGCTTTTGTTCTACTTCTGGACTATCAACTCCTCTTCCCCCCCCCCCTCGAAAAAAAACAGCTTCAGTTGCTTCCTGAAGGCAAAGAGGAGAGTCAGCTCACACCTACGGTGAGTGTTCCCGAAACAAGTGTTGCTGCGGTATGAAAGATCCATTTATATATAAAGAGCATAAAGGTGATATTTTTTTTCCTAAACATTTCTTCCCCATTTTTCAGTGGCTGGTATTTTATGACTGCCAAAACTTTTGACTTCTACATCTTGCAAATATGGTTATCATGATTAAAAAAAAAAATAATAAAAATCAGTACTCTTTGTTCTTGCATCAAGAACAAGAGAGCTTTGCAGTAGCAGCTGTACTGTAGTTTGCAGCTCAGCTGTTTGAGGCATCACCCAATTCTCAGATTTTTCTTGTCATTGCAGAAGGAACAGTAAGGGATCTAGGAAGTGCTTTGCAAGAAACATTCATTGCCATGCATGGGATGTCTCAGTTTACTTTTTTTTTTTTTTTTCACTAATCTGGTGTCTTAGAAATATTCTTCAAAAGCTACAAGCACCTACGGCAGATACAGTTTTACTGCTTAAGAAGTTAGGCACAGCCTTGTAAATTATGTAGCAGCAATTTCAGCAAGTTTTTCTGCTGCTAACCTGGTCCCTTAAGGAATGAAGGTGTACCCTCACCTGGGCAGCGCCTGCAGCAGCAGCGCTTGTTCCCACAGTCCTGCTTTAGCTCTGCTCCCTCTGTTGGGACTGGCAGAACGAACTGGTCAGCTCCTGACCCAAGTTAAAATGCCCTTTGTTTTGCTGGGCTGTTTTTGTCCTTGCCGAGTTGCTTACAGGCTTCGTTGCGCAGTCTTGTAAGTCACTGGCAAAACTGAGGATGCAGCAGATGAGTCTCCCGTTTATAGAATCATAGAATGGTTTAGGTTGGAAAGGACCTTGAAGATCATCGAGTTCCAACCCCCCTGCCATGGGCAGGGACACCTCCCACTAGACCAGGTTGGCCAAGGCCACGTCCAGCCTGGCCTTGAACACCTCCAGGGATGGGGCCTCAACAACCTCTCTGGGCAACCTGTTCCAGTGCCTCACCACCCTCAAAGTGAAAAACTTCTTCCTGATGTTTAATCTAAACCTGCCCTCTTCCAGTTTATAGCCGTTCCCCCTCGTCCTGTCACTACATGCCCTAGTAAAAAGTCCTTCCCCAGCTCCCCTGTAGGCGCCCTTTAGGTACTGGAAGGCCACAATAAGGTGTCCCTGGAGCCTTCTCCAGGCTGAACAGCCCCAACTCTCTCAGCCTCTCCTCATAGGAGAGGTGCTCCAGCCCTTGGATCATCCTCGTGGCTCTCCTCTGGACGCACTCCAGCAGGTCCATGTCCTTTTTATGTTGGGGACTCCAGAGCTGGATGCAGTACTCCAGGTGGGGTCTCACAAGAGTGGAGTAGAGGGGCAACTTATACTTGGGTTTACAGCATTTTTCCAACATCCCATCCTACCTCCCAGGTTGTGTTTAGAAGCTCCTGTCAGAATACTGTCCTCCTCAGCTCGCCTAGGCTGGCTGTAAATCGGTCCAGCCGGCCTGACTGCATCAGCTAATAAGCTTGTGCCATTCCCACACACACGCACACACTGGTCTTTGACACTAACTTTATTAGTTCATCAAAAATGCATTACATTACTGAATTAGTATCTCTTTGGAATGATACCTGCATCGTGTCTTAAAGGCAGCCTGGTGATAGGCTGATTGGGAAACTGCATTTACATTGGATTTTTTACAGTTTCTGTTGCCCAGAAGTGATAGTTTTGGTCTATTTCTGACATGAGCATTATCATACCAACTCTTACAGGGGGAATCTGTCCTGCGGCGATAGTTGTAGATGTTGATGTGAAAGGGCAGAAGTTTCAGTTGAACCCTTCAGCCAAATGGGATTTTCCAGGGTGTGTTTTCCTGGCTTTTCCAGTATTAGTCTCTTTATCAGAGTTCAGTCTCCTTGTTTTCATTGTAACAGGGGTGTCTTCCACCTTCGGAGAAGTCTCTTAGGCAGGTTACCTGGCTGTTGTTTAGCTCCAGGTACTGGATGAGTGGCAATGCCATTGCTTGATCTTTTCTTGGAGCTTAATGCTCGTTTTCTTCGTACTGGAAAGCTGCCATATTTCACCTCTGTCCTTCACTACAGTAACATCACATCACTTTTTACAACTAAAGAAAAAAGTCATCCCCCACTGAAGCAGTTTTTAAAACATAAATTTAAAGCAAAAAGTTTAACTGGCCTGTATCTAAATAGCCTAAAGATAAATACTACAGGAGATAACAACAGCCCTAACTTTACAAGTTCTTAAAATGCAATGAAACCATAATTACATGTCTCGATACCCCTGGAAGGCAAGTAGGAGCTACGGAAACAGCTGTTTTCCTAAGTGTGGTCTGGTCCTACAACACAAATCGTACAAAAATTAGCATAATAACCACTATTATTGGAAACAACTTTACAGATATGTACATTGGAATAGCTAAAGCTTGCAGTACCATGATTCTAGAGGGAAGGGAGAAGGGACTGACCAAGTCCAGACATATTCTCTCTTGTGCACCATCCAAAGCAGGCAGATGCACTGAGAAAATACCCGGTGCTTATTTTGCATGAAAAAGGCTCTCCCTCCTCTCCTCCCCAGAGCAGGTGGGCATCTCTCACTCTTGCCCACCGCCTCCGTGACTCCCACTTAGCGGGGGGGCAGAGGCTGCATTTGGAGAGCATCATAAGTGTCCTTGGTCGCTGTACTGAGTCCCTGGAAAGGAGAAAAACAGGTGAGGTCCCAGTGTGAGTGCTCAGTTCTCCCTAGCTGACTGGTCAGGAATGGGATGGCAGGGGCTCAGTACCATAGTTTTAATATTACTTTTTTTTTTCTTACAGAGGTTTTCACTCATGAGTGTTTCCTTAGTGTTTGTACGGTGTCAATAGCTGTCACTTACCTGAAGGCAAGATGCATCCTGAATGATAGTTGTGAACATACGACTACAGCAACTCATCCTAACTGGTTATGCAGATCTTTGGAGTACATTTTATTTGCACATCATTGAGAGCGAACTGATGCTAGAGTGAGCTTTGCTAACTAAATGAACAGACATCAACTCATGAACTTTATTCTCTGGACTTCTCCTCTGTAATTTGGAGGGGAAGTCAGATGCAACTCCAGGTAAGTTGGCAGCGGGGCTTCAGACAGCTATGAACCCCAGGAAGCAGCCCCTCACACCCCTTCCTGCGACGCAGCCGTCCACCTGCCAGCCTGCTCTGGGAGTTACAGCTCCCTGCTGCCGCCGTGGAGCCGACCACTCCAAGACCAGAGCAGCAGAAGATGCAGCAAAGTTGCAGGTCAGCCCAGGAGGCTGCCAGAGCAGAGGTAACTGGGGTTTCCAGGAGTGAGGATTTAGTAATACCCGTTGTGCCTGCTTGTAAAACTTCTAGCTACCCTTCCCTCTGCTGTGAATATTTAATGGCATACCGGGTACACTGGTAAGACGGTGCTTCTTATCGTCTGCCTGTGACTATCAGTAGAGCAGGTTTTGAAGAAAGGGACCATTAGCTACAAATAAGCCACCTTACAGGAAAACTCCCTGGCATGTGATGCATCAGAACTTTTTAATACGTATTTTATTTTTGTCATTTTGAGATGTCGATGACAATATCCAGGCTTATACAGAAAGTAAAATGCATTTTGGAACAATTATACATGGCGGCCCAAATAAGGCCTTATTGATGGACTCCTGGCAACACTGAAACCTCCCAGTGCACCAAGGGCCTGGAGGTGCTGCCCAGTTTGTGCTCTGTACGCTACAGTGAGACGGGCTGAACCTCTGATGCTTTGAGTTACAACACCTGTTTGGCAATCTGAAGGTTTCCATTTAAGCAATAAACAATTCAGAGACAGAACTGTACGTGTCATCTGCTGCAGTCAAAAGGTGGTTCTCCAAGATGTAGGACCGTGGAAATGGTTCCTACCAGAGCAGCTAAACAAGTGTTCCTGCCAGTTGTATTTAGAACATGGAGTCACTTTATCAAAGTACCAGCAGTGCAGTCTTTGCCCTGAACCTGAGTAACTATCCTCAAGAAAGATGCTTTGAAAGCTCTGCTTCAGCATGCATCGCCAACAGGGTGGTGAGATATGTAACTAGAGGCTACAATTAAGCCATGAAGATAGATGAGGGGAGCAGGTGCTGGATGTGTTGCCTACCTGGTAGAGACCTTCGTTCCCTTTGCCTCGCCGCCTCTGCTGCTTTGAGAAAGAAAAAGTGTGGATTAATGGGTGCCTTCCCCGTTACGCAAAAAGAAAGAAATCCCTGACTTTCCCCTCAACCTGTACTGAGGGTCAGCAGCAGCGCTTGGCCTGGACACCCTCTGCGCAGGAGGGAAAGCACCTGCTAAGTCTGGACCAGCCCAGACACCCTGCAAGGGCTGTGGAAGGAGAAAATGGTGCGGACTGAAAATAAAAAGGAAATTATTTTGGTTTGCTGATGTATTTTCCTGTCATGCTGTTATAATGCTGCTAGTTCTTTGATTTACTGTATGTATAGAGATTGGGCGATGCTCCTATAGACACCGATTGTTTTATGCGGTGAAGGCACCCCTGGAAGAAATGGGGCTGTATTTTTGAAGCTGCTGCATGTCAGCTGGTGTCCGAGGGACTCTGCCCTCTATTGGACAGACATGGATAACTAAATTCTCCGGCGCACATTTGGTAAGCTGTCTCGATGTGGAAAGGAACTGCAGATAAGGCTGTCTGAGGACAAAGTCACGCAGGATTCAGTAAAATAGGTACTGGGACCGTCATGGTACAAGAGCATACAAACAAGGTCACTCAGGCCAGCCAGGTACAAAGAAAATCCTTCTGCTTGAACCCGCTTGCTGCTGCATTCCCAGGGGTACGTGGAGCTGCCAGGCAGAGCAACCAAGTTGTGCCTGACAGCGCGATTTCCAGGTGAGAAGCAGGGACAGCAGAGCTCACGGCCCCCTGGCTGGGCTGGAGGCTGTCACGTCAAGCCCATGGCTGGTGAGAACTGCTCCGCGGCAGCACAGCACTGACTGCATCACAAACATTTCCCGAACACGTGCCAAAAGGTAGTGCCTGCCGCAATTAAAATTGCAGCAGTCTGTTAAACGATCGTATATCTAGAATGAGGCAAGGGTTTTGGGGTGTGTCCATCCCCAGTAATAGAAACAGTTATAAAAACATGGTGAGATTTCATATACTTGTAGCTCGTAAACTGAGCTTGAATGTGGAAGATGGGCATTAGAATAATAAAAAAGGGGACGGGATTAAATGTTGGTGTTGCTTCAGCATTTCTCAGCACGAAACTTTGTTTTGAAATGCCTTTTTTTTCCACTTTTCAGAAGGAAATGGAAGGTTATATTAAAGACACTTTGACATCAATAGAACCTGTGTAGGTCACAGCAATTTTTTGTTTTTCCATAAACGGTGTCCCCAGATGTTTTCCTTTTCAACACAAGCTTCCCTCCCCCAGCAGTTTGTGCACAGAGCTAAAACTGTCCGTTTGCTGCTAGGTTTACTCATAACCGATCTGTTCCTTCTTAAAAATTTGAGAGTGGAGATGGGGGAAGGAGAATGTTTCCCCCATTACTTTTCTGAAGACAGGCTCAAGGAGGAGCTTGCAAATACTTACTTGAGCCTATAAGGCAGACCAGCCTCGACAGCCCTTAGACGGGAAACTGTGAACCTCCAGCTCTGAACTGCTCTGAAGGAACATGCTCAACTAATGTGAGTTGCTGGGCTGCAGATGTTGCAGCGTGTGAAATTAGACATTTCCTTCAACTATTCCTCACCCATCTCATACCCTCTGCCTCCTTAGCTGGGGCAGCCATCAGAATTTTTTCGTCCAAAAGTTGAAATATTCCCCCTTGGCATTATTCAATCCATCCAGGGACACTGCTGGTATGCGGGCTGTGTTTCTAATACTGATGGGACAAAGCTTACTGTCTGGTCTCTACCCTTGTTTTATGGCTATTGTAATGCTATAGTTACGTGTCCTTCTTAGTAGGTAGCAGCTGCACCAAACAGTAGCTGCACCAAACGCACCAGTCACTACAGGAAAAAGGTAACTGCTCTCAGCTGTGCCTGTAGGTGCTGTGCAACATGGGGACTTCCTTGTGCAAGGCAGCTACGCGCAGCTGGGGCTACTGCTCTGTAAGGCAGCGGCAATGAAGAACTTTTCGTCCCAGGCAGGAAAGTAGGACTCACCTCTCCCTTCATTCCGATTTCACTGTATGCCTCGCCCATCTTGTCCTTCTGCAGTGACTGCAAGAAGAGATGGGGAAAG